TACATTTATGGCACTTGATGGGGTAATAACTTTTTTTTAAACTTTGTAGTTCTGTTATAATCCAGAACCCGGTACGCTTAAATGCGTGATTTTTCCTAACATCTCGAAAAAATCATTTAATGTCAGATCGGTATAGTAATGACGGAAAAATAATAAGAAAATCTGGCATCCAAATTGATAGATATATATATTTTTTGTTTTCGTAATATTTTTTAGTTATGAATGTGGAAGGGTACACCGGTAGAGGTAGACCTAGGAAGAGATGGATGGATTGCGTCAAAGGTGACATGATCAAAAAGGGAGTGATGACTGAGATGAGCGTTATATGGAGGACAAAAACTTGTTATGCTGACCCTACGGGAGTAGGATAAGGAGAAATATGATGATGAAATCTATATCGTTCAGAATCACAAATTATTAGTCAAAATAATTAAAAAACGATAAGAAATTCTTTAGCGACAATATAACAGATATGATAGTATTAAGTGAATTAACTGGCGGCAGAGAAACCGTTAAGTAGGCCGGCCAACCAGAGCGTGGGCTCTGAACGGATTATACCAAATGACGTCTACATTTATGTTACAATGTGACGGTTGTTTAATTCAATTGGCACCTTGTTTCCATTTGCAGATCTTAGACTGTAATATTAGCGAAGTTTTGTAGTACATTGAGGCAAACAAACACCTTGTAATATGACAAAATGATTTAAACTAACAAAACGTGTAGTATTTTTACTTTAACAATGATTTAAAACATTTCAAGATTAATAATTTACATTTTTAAACATTAATATGTCATTTAAATGCTTAACGCATTGTGAGTCATGACTTTCTTTAATTCAGAAGTTTGAGTATACCCGGCGCTCGAGTTGGCACGTCTTAAATAAGCGCACTCTTCAACCAGACGTGCCAACTCAATCGTACTATACATATCACTTTGTCAGGCCGAGGTTTTTACGTGTTTACTCCATTTTATTGCGAGCTCGAAAGTTTTATCGATACGATCTGAGCTCTGCAATAAAACACGCAGGTTAACATCACATCGTTTTCCAAGTAAAAGTTAATCAAGTTGCTTGAGTACTAGTCATTTACATTTTTCCAACGAACGTTTTAATAGCAAGTGTTCTTATTAAATTACGTTTGTGAAGCCAAAATAATATAAATAAGATTTATAGGTGACATTATATAGGTTACAAGTCTGATGTTTTACGTATGGAGTTTAAGACATCGCTCTGTGTCTAACTTCTAAGTGACAAACTTGAATTTTAATAAAAAGTAAAACTAAACCATTTATTAAACATTTTGAAAATTAAGGGAAAGGTTTACCTTTCCTTGCTTCCTTTGACACGTTTTTTGCTACAAGTTAATTTCGCTCTTAAATATATTATTGGCATGAAGTCTTGAAAGTTTATTAAGAAACAGAACTGTTTAACCAATGTGAATAAGTCAACATGCTTACCTTTCAAACATCAACCCTTTTGTAGACGGAGCACTAGGATTATTCCCCTCTCGTATCTTATTTCACGCTTCGCTCGGATTAAAAGCTTAATCAAGTCAAAAGCGAGGGTAGTGTTAGGTCTCTCAGGGTGAAATGTGTTTACAAGCTTTGTTAGGTAGTCTGGAATGTGGAATTTACGTGCATATACGGATGCATAATTTAAGCTCCATTAAGTAGAAAGCGAAAGCTTATACTTTCGTATGGAAACAGAGCTAAGCTAATAGCTAATGTTATCTGAAATAATAGTACTGGTCTCAGTTTGGTCTCTCAAGAACCTTTTTACGCTACTGAGCGGTTATCTGTCTAAGTAGACAAGAGTTCTGGTATATTTTTTTATTTTATGAATGTTCGGTTTCAGGACGAATTTTCAATGGAGCCGTACAAAGCGGAATCAGTTCGAGGCCAGTCGGTGCTGATGAGCGGCGCGGGCACGACGCAGCGCAAGCGCAGCGACGCCGCCACCGCCATCTATCTCAATGTAAGTCACTACACGGTCACCATGGAAACAAGGAATCTTGAATAGGTTAGCGACATCCTTATTAGGTACTGGGGACTTCAAAAACTGCAATACCATTAGAGCAATACTTCCAGCTGGATCTAGAAGTCCATATCTATACTTCTGTACTAATACTTTTTTTTTAATAAATAGCCCTACACTTACGACACGCTTTGAGCTGTACATTTTCAAGCAATAAAATTTAGAGGGTGAATTAATTGTAAAACATCGTCAGGCGGGAAAGGGACAAAAACTACACGCTGACAAAATTAAGGCAGCAAGGTTGCCATGGTAACGATACTTGTTATCCAATGTCAAATGTTTATTATTATTTGAATGTTGACTTTTCAATTGAAAATTTTACAAATGTAAACAATGAAATAAAGTTTTTATAATTTTATACGGATGAAACCGCACGTTAGTTAGTTATGACATACTACCTTTCAGGAATTAATAAAGAACAAAAGTGAATAACCTATGTGTTCTTCTGGACTATCCTCTACATTTGTCCCAAATTCATAGACAGTCAGAAGCATCCATCCATAAACGGAATAAAAAGTATCCTATGTTCGTCTCCTGGCTCTAAGCTACCTCCTCGCCAATTTTCAGCCGTATGGGTAAAGCCGTTCTTGAGTTATAAATAGTGTAACACGACTTTCTTTTACATATAAAGATATGTACGTTTTAGATTTGAATACGTGTGGTTTGTGTTGCAGGTGGGGTGCGGCGACAGGCTGTGGGCGCGGCACAAGGTGCTGGTGGGCGGGCTGCGCGAGCAGGCGCGCGACGGCTCGCTGGCGCAGCTGCTGCGCCTGCCGCTGCTGGGCTGGCGGCTGCTGGCGCTGCGCCCCGCCGCGCCGCTGCTGCGCCCCAAGAGACAGGTCACTGTCTATTTAAACCAAACTATGTCTTCAGCTCTGTCACTAATTCAAACATACACGTGAAAAAGATATTCTAAAATCCTTACTCGCGTATAAAAACGTTAACAAATCCGATCGATTTGGCGACTAATGCAGGCAATGTTAAGAGGTCCTGTAACAAACTAGTTTGTGATTAAAGTGGAAAGGTGCAAGAGAAGTTTTCGGAGTGTCCACGACAAATGGCAGTCTAAAATCTCTGCTTGGTCCTCTAAGTTACGGGTATCAGTAACATTTAAGTAAATTTATTCAAATCCTACTTTTGTATAATCAGCCCATTTGCAAGCTATTTCTGTTTCATATCGGTTACGTTTGAGATCATCGCTAAAAATGTTCATATATGCTTTGATACTGTAATTTTTTGATAGCAATAAAAGGGTTATTTGCTTATAACAAGCGACCAATACGATCACGAAAACATCGTGATGCAACCTGCACATGTTCACAAAGAAATTCGAAGATATGTGTGAAGTCACCAACCAGCTTGGTTGACTATGGCCTAGTCAACCACGCCTATGACATAATGATGATGATATTGACCAATGTAATGTTTGACTAAACCAATGTACAATGTTTGCCTGCAGTCAGCTATAGACGGGTCGGGAGCGTACGACACGTACGACGGCGAGGAGGACGGCGCAGACTACAGCGGGGACTACGACGATGATGATGACGACGAGGACTTCCCCATCGACTCGCTCTCGGAGCCGGTGAGTGACACTTCTTTATTGTCTACTAACTGTTACTCGCGCCTTCGTTTATTCGTTGTTTCTCACTGATAACATAGCTTCTAAATGGTGAAAGATTTTTTGAAATCTGCCCAGTGGGTTTTGAGTTATTTCAATGCATACAATAATACAAATGTTTCGTATTTCATATTAATAATATGAATATAGATATCTATGGTCATATCTATTCGCTGTCAGAACCGACGTGTGACATTTGTAAATTGTCAATTGTCTATGGTCTGTTGTATAGTTATATGAAGTGTTGCCAACATTAAAAATTTTATCTTAATTTCTAGTTACTGATTCGTTACCAAAAGTAAGGATTTGGTTGATGCATAAGAATAAAACAATGTCTGCTCACAATATCTAGAGATTTAGATGAATAGTTTATATGATAAATCATTTTAAAGCAATGATATAGACGTAGGTAATCGTGTCATTGTTTTTTTTGTCATCCTCTCATTTATGTTACACCATTCCGTCATTTCATTTATTCATTGGAATGTCATATCATATACATATATTCATCCACAATTAGCCGCAATTTTCAAATATCATGAATGTAGATAAACTTGGATCTTAATTGTTCCTAGATTTTTAGTATAAAAATGGTTTCCAATGAATATACATTGAATATAGGGATGCACGATAGTATAATTGAATTATAAATAATAAATTAAATAGGTAACTATAAAGTAGTAAAAATCGTGCGTCCCTTTGATGAGTAATGGAATGGACACGCACCATAACGACCACGGCATGTTGAATGATTTTTTCCAACACTGTGTCCTGTGTGAGGGTTTATTTATATGTGGTTGCAATATCCAGATTTAATTTCTAACCTTACACCCTTACTCTCCAACTGTATCAATTATTTACACTCATATCATACAACTCTTACATCTATCTATTTCGACTACATTTATATTATAATACATATAAAAGACAAGCTTTGTGTGTGGTTATTTCACGGAATTCGCTTAAAGGGCTTTTAACTTGCACTGTTGTAACTAACAAATCCAATGTTTGTGCGCGATCTGGTTAACATCGGTTTACAAAGGATATGCCTTTTATACATTATTGACTATGGTTTTAATTTTTTTTTTTTCATTTGATTCGAAATATGACAAATTTAAATATTTTTAATGGTTGCCAAATACAAATCATCGTTTGGTTGATTCTGATTTTACTTTTATAATTTTTTGTAAATCATATGATTTCTTACAAATCAAACTGATCTACAAATATGATCAAATGTCAAATATATCTGTATGGAATAGAACATTAGTCAAAGCTCAACTAAAAATCTTGACTATATCAAGGGAACAGAAAGCAAGACTTGCTTGGAACTTTAATTCTCTAAAGGCATGTCCATAGTTACCCGATGCAGCAATAACCACAGACATAGCGCGAGGTAGATGAGGTACGTGTTGCGGGGTGCAGTACTAACGCAGTGTGTGTCGCGGCGCAGCCCCCGGCGCACGCGCACCGCCACCACCACGGCGACAGCTGGCGCGCGCCACACACCACCACACACATCTTTCAGACCGAGCCCGCCACCGAACACGCGCCGCGGGAACCACCCCCGCTACAACCCGAACCCGAACCCGAACCACAACCCCTCCCGCAACCGACCCCCCAAACCACAACCGAAACCCCCACTGCAGCCGCCACAGAGGAAACCACACCCGAGCCCGTCTCTACTAATACGTACACAACAGAGGTTTGTCGTAACCCGCTCCTGCTTTGTGTTCAATGATTGTTGCATGGTTGTTGTCGTTTGTTTTTAACATTCTCTCTCTTTGTCTCTCTTCCTTTTGATTTCACTCTCTCTTTCTTCTTATGTCTTCTACGACGTATCGCTTCAGGGCATCAAATATTTAAATTTACAATAATTACGTGTATATCTCAACTATTATTTTTAATTTAAGTGTTATTTATTATTTACTATAATATGTTTTGATTTCATATCTATTTTAATCGTAGAGTAAGTGTGTGTTTTAAACCTAATCATTATGATCATTGTTTGTATTAGAATAGATAAAAGCATGAATGTTTAGAGAAAAATAAATAATAATTTCATCAGAGATCCACATTTTTGTATTACAGCACGAAGACTGCTAGATGTTATAGACATTTACATAAGCATGCCATTTAGTATTTACTAATTTGTCAACACATATAAAAAGTATTGTTTCCTTTATTCAGGTAGTGAAAATCACACCATATACTGAGGCGGTATCGGAATCAAGCGAATCAAATAGAATTGATTTAGGTATTGAGGAAGCTCGTAAGTTCCTTCACTCGCCAGTCATCATATCCCCGGAAGATGTTCCGACTACCTCAGAACCAGAAATGGTAAGTATTTCAATTTGTCACACCTTCACGTTTGTATGTACAACACTAACATATGTCTTGTGTGCAAGGACCGGGGTAGTGTAGTCACCTACCTAATGTCACGCATTGTAATTTGTAAATACATTATCTAACTTATACGATGTACGTAAAGACAACTGTAATTTATAAACCTCATAGACCTTTTTCAACTAGAAATGTTGGGTTGTTTTAATTGTATCAGAGTATAAACATGAAGGAAGATCTAATTAATGCATGATTGCTATTATAAAAAAAAAAATCTATCCAATTTCACATGAATTATCTGATTCTTAATATTGATCGAAACATGTAGTAAGACTTCGTCCGCGTGGAATTAATAAAATGTTACTCGTTAATTCCATAGCTTTTTAACGATGAAAGAATTTTTGAAATCGGCCCAGTAGTTTTCAATTTATTTCAATACATACAAAAATCCAAAAATACAAATCTTTCCTTTTTATAAAATTAGTAGAGATAAAAATAAAATTCGATAAGTATCAAAATGAGTTGTCTTGACGTATGATCGTTCACGTCACGTTGTGTGAGCGTCCGCATGGCACTTTCAGCAAACTGTAATAATACGAGCGTCCAACGAACTGCCGCCGGCGTCCTCGGAGCAGCCGACCATGCCCACCGCGGTGACGTCACCTTCGCCCTCGCCCACCGACGCCGCGACCACAGAGACCACGCCGACTGTCTCCACCACGCAGTCCACCACAACTTCCACCACGACCACGACGACAACGACCACAACCACAACGACTACGACGCCCGCGCCGACCACCACCGCCCCGCCGCCCACCACACCGCCAACGACCACGCCCCTCATTATCTCAACCCCGCCCACAACCACGCCCGTTCCAGAAACCACTCTACAGGAGGTTACAAAACAGGTTAACAATTTGAACACAAAATATGCTTCCTTAATTTTTATATGAAGAGTCTTTTGTAAGTAAGTTTGCAAATACTAAAAACACAGCGTGTGTCACCATCATTTAGTTAGGTTTGTTTGTTTTATCCATGGGGTGATAATTTCATATCATAATCTAACCTTTCTAATAAATTTGTCAGTAATTAATAGCTAAAAATATTGGTTTTAAAATATGATACTACAATACCATCACGAATTTGAAATATTCCAGCTAGAATTTGAACCTTTATTCTTGCGGTCTTGAATTTGACTTGTGATATTGTACATTGTACATATTGAAATGTAATTTATGAATGCGTGTTTTAGAAGGGCTAAGGTGCAATTTTCGGGAACTGTAAAAATATCTTATTTCTTGTATAAAGATTTACTAGATATAATGTCATTTTTGTATATACCTAACGACTATGGCTTTTTCTACAGTTAGCAGAACATAATTTAAACTAGATTTTTAAAAGTTTTTTAAATCATTAGCTTTAATAGATGCATAAATGTTGTTTCAAATAAAGCACAGTGTATGAAGTGTTTGTATGACGGGTGCAGGAGGTGCCGCTGTCGTCGGAGCGCAGCAGCACCATAGTGGGGCGCACGACGGAGACGGTGACGTTCCCCATGCCGCCCAACCAGCCGCCCTCGCTGCGGTATCACATGAAGAAGCTCGCCATCACCGCCGGCAAGGCCTTCAGGTACATATCTGTACTATATACCAGGGGCTCCCAACCTTCCAGTACTCTAGAGCACATTCTAAAATATCGGTCGAGTGGAGAGATCACCTATAATTAGATGACCAACTTCTTTAATAACTTCACATTTTCCCATTATTTATTTTCTTAACAACCGAGCCGTTAGGCAAGTTCTACAAGTGTTGTCAGCAAAAGAAACATACAATATCGCACACATAAGAACGTATTTAATAAATGAAAACTGTCAGCAATCACAATATTTTTTTTTAATAATAATAAGCCTTATACTTACGACACGCTATAGGCTATTTATTTTCTTACAATTAAAATTTAAAATGTGAATAAATTGAAAAAGTATCATGCAAGAAAAGAACAAAAGCTGACATCCAATAGCAAGAATCAATGTTGACATTTAAGTATTTGAATTTTGGCAATTCCAATATACGCTTATCATACATACAGAAAATGTTTTTTTTTTTTTTACATTTTAAACACGTAAATTTTGTCATATCAGGTATATTACTAAATTCTGGTGTACATTTTTCCTGATATTCAAGTTCTGTTAATTTCAGATACATAATCCCCGCGGACCTGTTCTCGGACCCGGAGGAGGGCAGCAACCTGACCTTCACGATGTACGACGCGGACAACGTGCCTCTGCCGCCCTCCTCCTGGATACAGTTCATACCCGCCAAGAGGGAGGTGTACGGATTGTAAGTAAACAACAAACTTTATGACATTTAGCGGCACCGAACCAGATTCAAAACGATTTGGCAAACCGTAGTGTTTTTACAGCATTTTAAATTCGTTTCATTTCACGTTTTTTATTACGATTCCTTTCAATTCGCCATATAAATAGTTATAAAATAATCAGAGATGAATGTTTATACCTATTTTGTATTGATCTATGATTCATTCTTTTCTTCCAGACCTCTAGAATCTCACGTATCCAGATGGAACTTCAGAGTCGAGGCTCAAGACAGCGAGGGGCTGGTGGCGCGAGGTCCGCTCGACATCACGGTGCAGCAACACAAAGGCGGCCGGACCATCAACCACCAGTTCATCATGCAGTTCAAACTGCTGAAGCAGTACACCAACACCATCGACTGGCAGATACGAGCCCTCGAGGGTATCGTCAACCTCTTCAGGGATACCGACATGGACCATCTGACGGTCCTCAATGCCACCGTCACCGGAGACCTCTGCGAATACGTCTGGACCAATGACACTTTGCCTAAAGACCCTTCGTGTCCCATGGACGATATTAATAGGCTCATGAAGGTAATGCATACTTAGAGACATTTAATCTTTGTTAAACTGTCTTAATGTGAGTGTAACTAAGAGGAGTAAGAGTCCCTTATAAAAAAAAAAAAAAAAATTATTAATGGTAACTGCTCCTCACTTAGATGTAGCTTAGATCGGCTGGTATATCCCATGTATCCCTTAGTGTTTTATCATACTAAATCTACACTCAGAGGCTTTTAGCATATTTGCGGAATTATGTATAAATGTATGGAAAGTGTGAGAGAAGAGACAAGTGGTCAAGGTCTGCGCTAGATGGAAGACTGTTACTGACTACCGTAAAAGGCCATTTCCCATAATGTAATAGTAGTTAATTGTGCCGCAGCAATATCCTACCTTTAAAATACTAGAAACTAATATAAATCATAATAAAATTTTATGTTTATGGTTTGAGAGAATATAATTGTAGTCATATATTTAAACTTTTCCGAACATACTATATTTTCATGTGACTGCGGAATCGCCTTTTTTAGCCTGACTGGTTCCTAACAAATCAATTATGATATTATTTTTTTCCGCCCTACTTGTAAAGATGACTGTTTGGATTTTGTTTTGTAAAGATTACCTGATGGGTTTGGCCGCTTGCTCGTTTGCCATCTTCTTCATCATCATCATCGTCTCCCTTGTTATCCTATTCCCATACGGTAGCGCAACAGTTTTTTACTCCACATAACTCTATCATACGTCATCTCATTATGTCACCTTTCACGCAATCCATCCATCTCTGTCCAGTGTACCCCCCACAGTCATAAATAACGTCCTTCTTGTTACATGCGGTTCATCCCTTCTCATAACATACCTATATTATGCTAACCTTTTACTCTTTGCCTTCTCTACCACTGGGGCTACTCTCAAACTTCCTCTAATATAGACATTTCGTATCTTATCGTTATAATATAAAATGTTAAAGATAATGGAATCTGATACGGAGCCTGGGGCGCCGTCGTTGGCGCTGACGCGCGCGATGTCGCCGGAGCTGGGCGCGGT